TCCATAAGGTGTATTTTAATCTGTTTTTTAAATCTAATTTTACTGCTTGCATGTGGAATAGATGTGGAATAGAGTTTCATGTAGTCATGGCTCTATTTAGTACTCTGCGCCTCCAATAGTCTGTTCTGGACTTGGGGACTGTGAAGAGACCTCTGGTGGCATGTCTTCTGGGGTATGCATGGGTGTCCAAGCTGTGTGCCAGTAGTTCAAACAGACAGCTCAGAGCATTCAACAAATAAAAGTATTAATGAAGTCAATCTCTCCTCCACTTTGAGCCAGGAGAGATTGACATGCATATTATTAATGTTAGCTCTCTGTTAGCTCTCCAGCCATGCTGCAAATTGCAATTTTCCTAAGTCCCTCTTTGTGGCACCTGACCACATGACTGAACAGTAGTCCAGGTGCGACAAAACTAGGGCCTGTAGGACCTGCCTTGTTGATAGTGCTGTTAAGAATGCAGAGTAGCACTTTATTATGGACAGACTTCTCCCCATTCTAGCTACTGTTGTATCAATATGTTTTGACCATGACAGTTTACAATCCAGGGTTACTCCAAGCAGTTTAGTCTCCTCAACTTGCTCAATTACCACATTATTCATTACAAGATTTAGTTGAGGTTTAGGGTTTAGTGAATGATTTGTCCCAAATACAATGCTTTTAGTTTTTGAAATATTAACGACGAACGTATTCCTTGCCACCCATTCTGAAACTAACTGCAGGTCTTTGTTAAGTGTTGCTGTCATTTCAGTCGCTGTGGTAGCTCACGTGTATAGTGTTGAGTCATCCGCATACATAGACACACTGGCTTTACTCAAAGCTTGATTGAAAAAAGTAAGGGGCCTAGACAGCTGCCCTGGGAAATTCCTGATTCTGCCTGGATTTTGTTGGAGAGGCTTCAATTAAAGAACACATTCTGTGTTCTGTTAGACAGGTAAGTCTTCATCCACAATATAGCAGGGGGTGTATAGCCATAACACATAAGTTTTCCAGCAACAGACTATGATCGATAATGTCAAAAGCAGCACTGAACTCTAACAAAACAGCTCCCACAATCTTTTTATCCTCAATTTCTCTCAGCCAATCATCAGTCATTTGTGTAAGTGCTGTGCTTGTTGAATGTCCTTCCGTATAACCCTGCTGAAAGTATGTTGTCAATTTGTTTACTGTAAAATAGCGTTGTATCTGGTCAAACACAATGTTTTCCAAAAGTTAACAAAGGGTTGGTAACAGGCTGATTTGTCGGCTATTTGAGCCAATAAGGGGGCTTTACTATCCTTAGTTAGGGGAATAAGTTTTACTTCCCTGCAGGCCTGAGGGCACACACTTTCTAGTAGGCTTAAATTGAAAATATGTGACTCATTTCAGGAAACTAGGTGTATGTCGCTGATCACTACTTCACAGCAGAGCCATTTGAATGTAAACTTGATTTTTTAATCAAAATGTGTTTTTGGGCAGAAATGCCTTCTGGAACATGTGAACTTTCATGTGCCTTAATAACAAACTTGTATGCCATCTGTAAATACGAATACAATTGTTAAATCACGACCCTATCTGGTTTAGCCACAGTAATATACAAGAACCTTCCCTCTAGCCATGATTGGCTGAGATAATGGATGGGCTGGACATGCCGAGAGATGAGTTCGGATTGGTCTGCCATTTAGCACGCTTCTGTCTATAACATGAGCTGGTCAGTATGTGTACGTAATCCTTTCTAACGCGTCTTTCTTGAAAGATATCACGTTTTAGAACTGCAAAGGTGTTGCTCTCCACTTTCTGGAGGACCAAGTTTTGAAATCAGTGGAATGCGTGGTGGAATTTGAATATGATAGCTAAGGAGATGGAGAAAATTCTGTTGTTTGATTGCAGACGGAGTCGAAAAGAGAACACACAGAAGGTTGTTGTATAAAACACCTGTCTCTGGATTACATCTTCAAACTAAGGCAACCATGGCATCTGTGACAGAGAGGGAGAAGCGTCCATCCATGTATACAGGTAAGATAGTCTAGCTAGCTACATTTTCAGATATTACACGTTTCTAATTTTGTCAGAAAGTCATTTTCATTTCAAGTTAAATCGTACTGTTAGCTAGCTAACATGTATGATCTGTGTAGTAATATTATTTGTATCTCAGAGCCATTTGCATTGCTAATTATAGCCTAATGTTAGCTAGCTAGCTAACATTCAACTTGGTTGGTTAGCTACCTGCAAATCCATGCAGGGTAGTAATGTTATGAGTTGGGATTCTGGTTCATTGTTTAGCTAGCTAGCTACATATCTAAACAAAAGACTCCACTATGCAAGTAACCATTTCAATAGAATGCTCATGATGTCACTGCAACAACTGTCAATAGACGTAGCTGGTAAATTCCCTCTGGCTATCTACTCCGATTTCAGAGCACTAGTCTGACTGTGCCAGAGCGCAGAATAATTGACGCATTTACGAACGCTCAACACCCGTTGAATATGGCCGGCGTCAGTAAACGTTGGCAAAAAATAGTTATTAAATTGTTGCCAGCAGCACAGTTGCAGTCACCAAAGCTCTAGATAACATAAAAACAACCTAACCAGCTCTGCTAGGGCGAGTAAAATGGTCAGAGTGAGCTGTTCCCTCATTTGTGTCTGGAAATAGCTAGCAAGCTAGCCAACGTTAGCCAGTTAGCATGGGTGGTTGACTGCTGTTGTTAGGTCAGAACGCTCGGATCAACCCTACTCCTCAGCCAGAGCATCCAGTGTGCGCTCTGAACGCTCTGAGAGTGAAACGATCTGAATTTACGAATGGGCAATCTGACAGCTCTCTGAGTTTACGAACGCCCAGAGCGCACTCTGAGTACACTCTGGTACTCCAAATTGTATCTACTAACACACCCGTAGTATAAACCAGCCTTTAGTCTTGAAATCTTTGGTTTTTTAGTACATGGCCTCACGTGAATCCTTAAAGAGCTGGGTGGGGCTAAAGCTTAAGAGGTTGTGAAAGATGCTGAATGGGTGTAGACAAAGAAGAGCTCTCCAGTAGGTGTACCAAAACATTCATGGGCCATTTTCTCAAAAATGAGGTTACAAGTTTATCAACTTTCAAGGCAGGATTACTTTCCCATTGTTCTTCAACTGTAGTGTATGATATCCTTGCCAACAAGGATTTTGCAACCAAGTACTAAGTCATGTTTTGCAGAGGGGTCAAATACTTATTTTCCTAATTTAAATGCAAATCAATTTATAACATTTTTTAAATGCATTTTTCTGGATTTTTTTGTTGTTATTCTGAAGTGTTCAATGCCACGATTTAGGGAGGGCAGAGGGCCAGATGTTATGGGGCGTTTGTTTGTGTCAAGTAGTGACCCAATCAGTTCTTTCAAATCCATCTTCAGCTATTCTGAATTGCCCTTCATAATGTCATTCGACCCCACATGAACCATGACAGTTTCAATCCCCGGTGACTGACGCACAGCCTTGGGAAGCAACCTGGATATATCCTGAACTTTTGCCCCAGGAAAACACAAAGTCTTTCCCCAGGTACAGATATATGCCTCACCATCGAACTCCCTATCACAACAGCCGGAATGATCAGGCCTCTGCCTTGTCTCGAAGCTGATTGTGAGGCCAGAGCCACAGAACTCACCTGAGAAGAGAGCTGCTGAGATGCCGGCTGCGTGCAGGCCACACCAGCCAATGGGACAGAGCTCTGATCCAGAGAGCACGGCCAAGCGGAGGGGGGCTGTTCCCAGGCAGTTGATTGACTAGGACAGGGAGAGGTAGCTGGAGGGACATCCACAGCAATGGAGGGAACAACCAAGCCCCCGGCAGAAGACAGCTGGTACAGGGGCTCAAAGCGATTTGAAAGTCTTATGTCCGGACGCGTGGGAAGAATGCAGGCGCGCCGAGAATGATTATTCTCTTTCTTTCTGGTTCCGACACGCATCCATTTACGCTCACCTGAAGTCGACCAATTGAGCTGCCATTTTCTGGTTCAAGCTAGTAGAGGGGTGCTGTGGCGGAAATTTTCCAATAAGGTCCCATTATGATCTTCTTGGATGTTTTGATAGGAAGCATTTAAAGATGGCGATCGTTCATGGAATCCTTATTCAGTTCAAGGCGCTTGGTCAAATTTTTTATTTCTTAATGATCATCAAGTTCAATAAATTTTTCACAAATGAAGGTATCCATTGGACCTTTCCCCGTGACAACTACGAACATGTCGCAGATTATACACTTAATAGCATGCGAGTCCCCAGCTGATTCAAAGAAGGGGAGATGAGGACAATGAGTTGGTCAAATAGCTAGCTAGCTACTGCTGGTGATTAGCTAGACATTGGTGTGTGCGCGTGTTGCTAACTAATGTTAGTTATGTAGCTTGCTAGCGAACATTAGCAAACAACGTTAATGTTAACTACTCTGGGTAATGTCACCTGCTGTCAGATGCTAAGTTACTTAACTAGTGAACAAGGCGGGAAAGCATACCTAGCTGGTTTGCTAACTAGCTAACTAGTTTGCTGTAGTTATCCAACTATCATAGATAGCTAGCTAGCTCTTAAGAGGGGCTTAATATGGCACTAAGAGAGGGGGATGAGGTTGGCTAAATTTACCTAAGGTTGGTGCGTCAGCACACACTTTTCTGCCGTAATACATTTGATTATTGCACCATTTGTATTAGTCAGTTAGTTAGTTAGTCAAACATATTTTAAGCGCGCAAAATCATGAATCAGGTCCACATTTTGTTTCAACCTTCATCCCCTCTCTGTGTGTGTATGTGTCTGTCCGCATTCTCACTGACAAATGCATTTAGAACATGAGAGTTGTGCATTTTCCTTACCAGACTTTTGTTAGGCTGTGATGCACTTCACTATTGCTGAGTTACAACTGTAATACGGTAATAGCTAGCTAGTGATATTATTGTCATTCCAGTGGCATAAATGTTGAGTGTCATGGTAGGATAATATCAACAGAACAGTCTTTCCAATATGTTGCCAAGCCAAGACTCATTTTTGCTTTTTTCACATATCAACATGCTGGGCTATTACGCAGGGTAAGTAATGTAACAGTTGGGTTTTTGCATAGCTGATGTTAAAACAGAAAATAAATGTGCAGAATTTCTATTCCAAAATGCTATACATCCGCTGGGGGGTATCTTTCCATTTCAGGACGATCCGATACGTATGTAGATACGATAGAAAAATGATACGTGTTTATACGCGGGAAAAACGATTCAATTTGGTTATAATATAATATATGGTCCCTCACTTATCCTCCTGCACGTGCTCAGACATGGTGTGGCAGAGGGTGTGCTGGAAGCTGCTGGGGAACGTCCCGGAGTGATGGCTGGAGAGTGTGCTCACTGGGCTGGTGCAGGCTGTCTGTAGGTAAGGGAAGAGAGATGGCTAGAGGTTATAAAATGGTATCAAACTGTCTGCGTCTTTGTCCCATCTCTTTCTCTCGTAATGTAAGTGTTATTTTTCCTCTAAGCCCGACAGAGGTCCAGGATCATGGGGATTCTGGTGTTGAAGAACAGAAAGGCCCATAAACTGCTACTGTTTCAATTGTAGGCACTACAATTGAAGTATGAGGTGAGATGGTGAACTGATGTTGAACTGGGCAGTCAGTCATTCATTATGTACTATGCGTCTATTCAATCTATCATTGTTGAAATTGAAAAAGCATCTGTTATAGCTGAAATCTTCAACTTCATTCCCAGACTCGTGTTTCGAGGATTCTTCTGGGATACCTGGCTCAGGACAGGGAGAGGCCACCACTTATACAGGTGAGTGTACAACAAAGTCTTTAGTGTTTTGATGATAACAGCAACTGGACACACACGCACAAACAGTCACACACACAATTAACAACATTGTCATAAATACACATGTATTGATTGTGTGTGATTGTGTGTGTGACTGTGTGTGCATGTGTCCAGGTGCTGCGGTCACTGTGCCAGGCCTGGGCCAACCCCCTCTGAAGCAGCAGCTCTATGTGAGCCAGGCTCTGCTGTTGTGTGTAGGACTACTGAGTGATGCAGAGCTATAGGAGCTATACTCAGGTATACCCCCAACACTACGGCACAGTATTGTGTCACACGATCAGAGCTGTTCACACTACTTTCTGACCTGTTTGAAAATGAAATGAAAAAAAAAAATCCTAGGAAAACGACTGAGCGTTTTGTTATGGGACGTGTCCATGTAGTCCCACCTTGTTGTAGTCTGTTTTCTTCTGTTTGGTGCCTAATGATCACAACCCTCATGTCCTTTCCCCTGTCAAAGCTGCTGCAGTTCATGCTGGGAGAGATGCAGAGCCACCTGGACAGCAGCGTAGTGTGTGTGAGGGGCATGGTGGTGGTGGAGTTTCTCTGCTCCTGCATGGACATCAACGGAGCCAAGCTCAAATTCGAGGTACAGTACAGTATGGCACCTTTTGGGTGCATCTCAATAGTCTGAAGTGTCTCACTGTCACTATATTCTGTTCTCTGCTCATATTGATCTGAATGAACTGGACAGGTGAAAACAAATAACATAATGCTTTTATCTATCTGCTGTTCAGATCAGTGCAAATGAAAGAAAGGAGACGGAGAAAGCCACTGTAGACTATTGAGGTGCACCCCTACAGTAGGCTATGACTGCCTTTACATTTTAGTCATTTAGCAGACGCTCTTATCCAGAGCAACTTACAGTTAGTGAGTGCATAACATTTTTTCATACTGGCCCCCCGTGGGAATCAAACCCACAACCCTGGCGTTGCAAGCGCCATGCTCTACCAACTGAGCTACACGGGACTAGGATAGGTAAGAGATTGTCATAATCAAACCCATAACACTCTGCAATACCTCTTGTTATACACTACATTTATTAACATAATGTTGTCTGTGAGACTGAAGTTTGATATTTAATTAAAATCATTGCAACTTAATTAATCTTCCCATGGGCAGTTAAGAAGGCATGGTATGGAGCTGTTAAGAAGCCTTTTGGACCTAGACTTGGCGCTCCGGTACCGCTTGCCGTGCGGTAGCAGAGAGAAGAATCTATGACTAGGGTGGCTGGAGTCTTTGACAATTGTTAGGGCCTTCCTCTGACACCGCCTGGTATAGAGGTCCTGGATGGCAGGAAGCTTGGCCCCAGTAATGTACTGGGCCGTCCGCGCTACCCTCTGTAGTTCCTTGCGGTCGGAGGCTGAGCAGTTGCCATACCAGGCAGTGATGCAACCAGTCAGGATGCTCTCGACGGTGCAGCTGTAGAACTTTCTGAGGATCTGAGGACCCATGCCAAATCTTTTCAGTCTCCTGAGGGGGAATAGTTTTGTCGTGCCCTCTTCACGACTGTCTTGGTGTGTTGGACCATGACAGTTTGTTGGTGATATGGACACCAAGGAACTTGAAGCTCTCAACCTGCTTCCTACAGCCCCGTCGATGAGAATGGGGGCGTGCTCAGTCCTCCTTTTCCTGTAGTCAGCAATCATCTCCTTTGTCTTGATCACCTTGAGGGAGAGGTTGTTATGCTGGCAACACACGGCCAGGTATCTGACCTCCTCCCTATAGGCTGTCTCATCGTTGTCGGTGATCAGGCCTACCACTGTTGTGTCGTCTGCATACATAATGATGGTGTTGGAGTCGTGCCTGGCCATGCAGTCATGGGTGAACAGGGAGTACAGGAGGGGACTGAGCACGCACCCCTGAGGGGCCCCCGTGTTGAGGATCAGCGTGGCAGATGTGTTGTTACCTACCCTTACCACCTGGGGGCAGTCCAGGATCCAGTTGCAGAGGAGGGTGTTCCAACGAACCATGGCAGAGTTAGTGCCTACAAAAATATACATTTTCTATTTCTCTCTATAGTAGTGTTAAATTAACTAGGCTCTATGTCCCTGACCTGTGTGTGTATCAACCAGTGATGATTCGCTCACCCCCTATTGACCTGGAGATAGCCAAGCCGCACCGCCTTGCGACCTCCAAGACTGTCTGGAGGGTAAGATACAGTAGATAGGTCTCTCCATGGGTGGGAGATGGACATTTAAGCTTATCAACACTCTCTTTATTTTACTGACTTGTTGAATGATTGATCCATTCATCCTTCCATTTCTCCTCAGCCTTCCTCTCCTCTGAGGACCCAGTAAGGGTGGAGCTCAGTCAGAGAGCTTTTGAGGGACTGGTTAGGAAGAACACTTCTACAGCCAGTGAGGTGAGAGGTCACACATGGTTTAGATGGTAAATATTTGTCACCATAGCGGTTCATCTCATAAGCAAAAGGGAATATGTTCCATCATCTATGTTCATTTACATTAGTGCAAATTGTCTGTAGCGGGTGATTTTGGACGGAGTCAGGGTAAATCACAGAATAAATTGTTTATTCGGTAAGACAGTGGTACGCAGCAATGCGTAAAACACTCCAGTGCAGTAAAACGGAGCACTGGGGAAAACAAGGCACACGGGTGAATATCCCGGCGATACACAATACAATATAGTTTCACCGAGCTATAGTAACCTCCAAAATAAACAATCACACACAAAGACAAGGGGGGCAGAGGGAATACTTATACATGTACTGATGAGGGGATATGAACCAGCTGTGTGTAATAAACAAGACAAAACAAATGGAATGATAAGATGAGGAGCGGCAGTGGCTAGAAGGCCAGTGACGACGAATGCCGAAGCCTGCCCGAACATGGAGAGGAGGCAGCTTCGGAGGAAGTCGTGACATTGTCCACCGATATTTATGTGATTTCTCGCCTCTTTTGGCTGTACGAAAGTGTATTTCCCCTCAGGCACACACATTTGTTCTTTGTTATTATAAAAGTAATTTGTGTAGAATGTACTTTTCCCCACTCATTCACCACATCTCATTACATTGCTTATGCATATTCGGTGGCCTGACTGCATCCAGACTATGTCAAATTCCGAACACAATACCCATCCTGGCAGATCTGAACCTAATGCGAGCACAATGTGACTTTCGTGCATCCAGACCTAATGCAGCTTGGAGTGATCGGGTGACAGAAATCACATTTATGTGCTGGGTGTAACCGAGCCATAGATGATACATATCCTTTACTTTAAGTGTTTTATATAATATCACTAAATGTTTCTTACTGTGTTACCGGGGCAGTCAAAAAGTGGAACGGCAAGGCCACAGAACATGACATATGCAGAGCTTTTGGAGACCACTACCTGGTAGAGTCCCATGTAGCTCAGTTGGTAGAGCATGGCGCTTGCAATGCCAAGGTTGTGGGTTCGATTCCCATGGGGGACCAGTATGAAAATGTATACACTCACTAACTGTAAGTTCCTCTGGATAAGAGGGTCTGCTAAATTAGTAAAATGTAAATGTAGATCCAGGGGTGGTGTTTACCACGCTTGAAAAGTGGGATTGATCTGTTTTTCTTTTATTGATCAAAATGTTTTGTTTCAGTTTTCAGTAGTGAAATCCTTTGACGTATTGTTGATAAAAAATCAAAATAAACATTTTCAACAAAAATGCACTGGATTGGTTATACTAAATTTACTCTGACAAAACATTAAGAACACCTTCCTATTTATTTGTATCCCTTTTTCGTGGTATTCAATTGGTAGTTACAGTCTTGTCCCATCGCTGCAACTCCCCTACGGACTTGGGAGAGAGCCTTGCGTCCTCCGAAACACGACCCTGCCAAGCCGCATTGCTTCTTGAAACACTGCTCACTTAACCCGGAAGCCAGCCTCATCAATGTGTATGAGGAAAAACCGTCCAGCTGGTGACCGAGGTCAGCTTGCCCGGCCCGCCACAAGGAATCGCTAGAGCACGATGGGACAAGGAAATCCCTGCCGGTCAAACCCTCCCCTAACTCGGACGACGCTGGGTCAATTGTACACCGCCTCACGGTCACGGCTTGCTGTGACACAGCCTGCAATGCAGTGCCTTAGACTGCTGAGCCACTCGGGAGGCCCAAGATCACCTTCCTAATATTGAGTTGTTTCCCCCCTTTTGCCCTCAGAACAGCCTCAATTCGTTGGGGGATGGACTCTACAAGGTGTCGAAAGAGATCGACAGGGCTGCTGCCCCATGTTGACTCCAATGCTTCCCAAAGTTGTGTCAAGTTAGCTGGATGTCCTTTGGGTGGTGGACCATTTTTGATACACACGGGAAACTGTTGTGTGAAAAAACAGCAACGTTGCAGTTCTTGACACAAACTGGTGCGCCTGGCACCTACTACCATACCCCGTTCAAAGGCACTTAAATATTTTGTCTTGCCCATTCACCTTCTGAATGGCACACATACACAATCCATGTCTCAATTGTCTCAAGGCTTGAAAATCCTTCTTTAACCTGTCTCCTTCATCTACACTGATTGAAGTGGATTTAACAAGTGACATCAATAAGGGAACATAGCTTTCACCTGGATTCACCTGGTCAGTCCGTCATGGAAAGAGCAGGTGTCCATAACATTCTGTACACTCAGTGTACCATGCACAATTTTGACAAGGTGGAAGATACATACTGAATTTATACAGCTTTTCATACTAAGATGGACCAAGATATGCGTTGCTTTTTTACATATTTTTTCATTGGTTATGCAAGAGTTGGTTGATTGGTCGGTTAATTGGTTTTCCAATATGTTGATGCCATTGATTAAAAGAGGAAGAATAGCATGTCCAACCCAAAATATAAGCTTGTTTTACTCCATTGTTTGTAAACAATATAATTGTCCAAATATATTTTCAGTTGGTTGCATAAATAATAATGATTACTAATGTTACATGAAATGTAAATATCAAATATAAAAAAAGAATGGAAACCTCTGTGTTAATATGTATTGGCAATAATTCACTTAATGGTGAGGCATGGAATAATAAAAATGTTATCTTTTGTCATGCTGGATGTTTGAAATATGAGTAGGTGATTTGAGTCATCATATTTCAGAAGTGGAATAAAGACAATTAGAAATTGAATGTTGTAAATAAATGATGTATGATTGTTAGTGATGTATGATTGTTAATAAAATTGTTCATAGACTCATTTTGATAATGTGTCCATGTGTATGCAAGTACGATGAAATGACGTTGTTTTCAAGTCGTTGAAACAACGACCTGAAAAATACGTCTTTTCAACTTTCACTTTCAACCAAAACTGAACGTAGATTGGACGTCGGGCAAAGTCGTCTTTTCAACAACATTTTGCTAGGTGGGCCTAGATCACATCAGTGTGTGTGTTTGTTTGTGTGTGTGTGTGTGTGGGTGTGTGGGTGGGTGGGTGGGTGGGTGGGTGGGTGGGTGGGTGGATGCATGTGCGTTCGTTTGTGAGTGAATTTCTCAGAAGAATGGTGTCGGCAGGGATGGCTGCCATTTTTCAGACTCCTAAACAATTGTGCTAATTTGTGTGTTTCTTTGCATTGTTTGTAACTTATTTTGTACATAATGTTGATGCTACCATCTCTTATGACCGAAGAGAGCTTCTGGATATCAGAACAGCTATTACTCACCTCGAACTGAACAAATATTATTTATTTAAGGAAATAAGGAAATACAGGGGGCGGAGATCAGGGTGCCTTGTGAGAATTTGTCGGCAAATGGGTAACCAGCCTCTTCCATCCGTTCTATTAGCCAACGTGCAATAACTGGAGAATAAACTGGATGAGCTCCGTTCGAGACTATCCTACCAACGGGACATTAAAAACTGTAATATCTTATGTTTCACCGAGTCGTGGCTGAACGACGACACGGATAATATACAGTTGGCTGGGTTTCCGTGCATCGGCAGGACAGAGCAGCTACGTCTGGTAAGACGAGGGGTGGGGGTATGTGTCTATTTTCCAGTAACAGCTGGTGCGCAATGTCTAATATTAAGGTAGTCTCGGGGTATTGCTCACCTGAGGTAGAGTACCTCATGATAAGATGTAGACCACACTATCTACCAAGAGAGTTTTCTTCAATATTTTTCGTAGCTGTCTATTTACCACCACCACAAACAGACACTGGCACTAAGACCACACTCAAAGAGCTGTATAAGGCCATTAGCAAACAAGAAAATCATCATCCAGAAGCGGTGCTCCTAGTGGCCGGGGACTTTAATGGAGGCAAACTTAAATCTGTTTTACCTAATTTCAACCAGCATGACACGTGCAACCAAAGGAAAAAAAACTCTAGACCACCTTTACTCCACACACAGAGACGCATACAAAGCTCTCCCTCGCCCTTCATTTGGAAAATCTGACCCTAATTCTATCCTCCTGTTTCCTGCTTACAAGCAAAAACTAAAGCAGGAAGTCCCAGTGACTCACTCAATATGGAAGTAGTTAGATGACGCGGATGCTACGCTACAGGACTTTTGCTAGCACAGACTGGAATATGTTCCGGGATTCATCCGATGGCATTGAGGAGTATACCACCTCAGACACCCGCTTCATCAATAAGGGCATCGACGACTTCGTCCCTACGTACATATCCCAACCAGAAGCCAGGGATTACAGGCAACATCCGCACCGAGCTAGAGCTGCCGCTTCAATATAGGACTAAGATTGAATCCTACTTCAAATTGTCAAAGACTCCAGTCACCCAAGTCATAGACTGTTCTCTCTGCTACCGTATGGCAAGCGGTACCGGAGCGCCAAGTCTAGGTCCAATAGGCTCCTTAACAGCTTCTACCCCAAAGCCATAGGACTGCTGAACAATTAATCTAATGGCCACCTGGACTATTTGCATTGACCCCCCTTTGTTTTTACACTGCTGCTACTTGGTGTTTATTATCTATACATAGTCATTTTACCCCTACCTACATGTACAAATTACCTTGACTAACCTGTATCCTCGCACACTCCTCGACTCGTACTCCCTTGTATATAGCCTCATTATTGTTATTTTATTGTGTTACTTTTTTTAATTTTAAATGTTTTACTTTAGTTTATTCAGTAACTATTTTCTTGACTCTATTTTATTAAAACTGCATTGTTGGTTAAGGGCTTGTAAGTAAGCATTTCACGGTAAGGTCTACACCATTTGCATTCGGCGAATGTGACAAATACAATTTTATTTTATTTTATTTGAATTTGTCTGGAGCTAATTATTTTTATAATTAATTAAAGGTCACCCTTTTTCTTTTATTTCAGGCTTCAAAAAAAATAATCTGCAAATGGAAATACACAAT